GGACGGAGAGTACAGCTACCCAACTGGGACGATACAGGAGATATCCCAGTGGAGACACTCGCACGATTCGAGAAGGACGTGAAGCGAACCGACACCGGGTTCCTGGCGATAGCAACAGAGGTGGAGAATGACGGAGAGAAAGCCTCGGAACCTCCAGAAAAAATCAAGGGACTTACTGAAGGAGTTCCAAGACATTCTTCTGTTATAATCACAATAGGCTCAGATGTGCCTAAAATGAGAGATATTCAGGACAGTCAGAATTCGGTCAGACAGCTTCAAAACTTGATGGCGATCTAATATGTGTCTCAAACGGTGATCTGTAAATTGTATCTGAAGCACGTTGCTGTCGCCTATCAGCAGCAAGTTAAATCATAAAATTCCATGAAGATTTGACGACGCTATGGCGGTTTGACTGGTAGGAGGTACAGCAGCCACTATAGTCTTAGGAGTACAAACTTAGCAAGAAGAGTTCGAGAGGGAGTCGGTTCCCAGCCTCTACATACCCCAAGAGCCGAGGTCCAGGTTGGTGGTACACCACCACAGAGTCCCCAACCATGAAGAGTCTCGAAACCAACCCTCCAAGGGGCTACCCCAAGTGAAATGTAACACTACACGAAGTAACGTTACTATTTTCACTATTTAATATTTATCCGCGTCCCTTGGGCTTGAAATCTTGAGCTCTTGTTCTTGGATCTCTAAGATAAATTCTTCTTGAGTTGATGGGGGCTTGCTGCACACACCTGCGACACGATGGACACTTCACACTCGACAAAATAGAAAAAACACATGCGACACGCAAACGACGACTTGACATGCGAGCTGTAAAAACTCGCTAATGTCTTGACCGACACAAGCCACACTGTGATACACCATTCAAACATTCACACAAGCACTAGATAGCACTGACATAGACTCACAATTCATTCCATGCCATGCATGCACACACACAAACAAGGACGACAAGCCGAGTGCAAGCCATAGGATTGCACCAACAAACTCCCCCTCGGATTGTTGGCCTTAGAATCTGCTCTCCTTAGTTCAGAGCCATCCCAGAAAGCTTGCAACACTTCCAATGCTGCTGCTCAACCAGCCTCTTGGTCATCATATCAGCCGGCTGCGCCGTCGTCTTCACGTAGTGCAACTCCACTTCACCCGCGGTTACCATGCTCCTCACCCAATGCCACTTCACCTTCATGTGCTTGGTAAGGCCATGAAGAACGGGGTTCTTAGCCAATGCAATAGCACCTTGGCTATCACAGTAGAGTGGGGTAGGTCCTTGCTGCTCCTCCCCCAATTCAGCTAGCAAACGCCGCTGCCACACAACTTCCCTTATGGCACGGAAGAGTGCCATGTACTCGGACTCCACCGAGCTCAATGCTTGGTCCACTTGTTTCTTGCTCTCCCAAGCTGTTGGCCCTCCACCAACACAGCAGATGAAGCCTCCCACACTTGTCATGTCCTCTGGTTCTGATGCCCAAGATGCATCAGAGTAGGCGGTGAGAAAGAGCCTCCCGGGTTCGACTCCATCCGCACCCTTTTGACGCCTTTGTGCCGCCGCGGAGTATTGCAGTCCAACAGTTGCTGTTTTGCCAAGGTACTTGGCCACCCTCTCTCCAGCTGCTACCTGCTCCTCATTAGGGCATTGGACAACCCTAGCCAGCTGCCCGGTAGCAAAGGCTGCATCCGGCCTTGTGTGAACGGCCGCATACATGAGGCTGCCCACCAAGGAGTGAAAACGCCGCCTCTCCTCTTCACCAACACTTTCATCCGCTGGTCCTTTCACACACTTGAACCCTGAGGGAAGAGGAGTAGCCACATGACCTTCACTCTTCCCAAAGTTTGCAGCCAAGGCCTCCAAGTACTTCTTTTGATGCACTCGCATCCACCGCTTCTCCACATCTCGCTCAATGTGAAGCCCAAGGTAGTAGTTGACGTCACCAAGGGTCTTGCACTTGAACTTGTCTTGAAGCTTCAGCATCACCTCCTTCACAAGGTCAGAGGAGGGTGAGAATATGAGGATGTCATCCACATAAACCACCATGAAGCTCCTCTGCTCCCCCTCGCCAAGCATGAACAAGGATTGATCGGCCGTTGAGGGAGTGAAGCCAATCGCCTCCAAGACTTCCCGCAGCTTGATGTACCATTGCCTAGGGGCTTGCTTGAGGCCATAGAGTGCTTTTTTCAGCTTCCACACTCTGCCACTCCCATCATTGTACCCCTCTGGCTGCTCGATGAAGGTCTCTTCCTCCAAAACGCCGTTGAGGAAGGCCGTTACTATATCCATTTGCTTCACCACCCATCCTTTGATGGCCGCCGCGGCGAAGAGGGTTCGAAGGGTTGTACCCTTCACCACAGGGGCATACACTTCATTGTAGTCCTTCTTCTCTTGCTGCTGATACCCCTTGGCTACAAGTCTGCTCTTGTAGCGCTCGATGTTGCTGTCGGCGTCGGTCTTGCGCTTGAAGAGCCACTTGGAAGAAATCGCCTTACGCCCCGGAGGTAGGTTCACCAAGTCAAACGTGTCGTTCTCGATGATACTCCCCATTTCTTCATCTGAGGCCTTCTTCCACTCCTTCCCATTGGGGCCCTCCCAAGCCTCCTTGGGATTTGTAGGCTCCCCCGGTATCTCCACCGGAGAGAAGAAGGCAAAGGCGCACTCCTCGCTTTCATCTTCCGCATCATCGCCTAGCATGAGAGCCGAACCGGTCAAGGTTGAGTTGGCTGGTCCTCCAAGCCGTTCATAGCTCAACCTATTAGGGGGCTGAGTCCTCCTTCTCCCCCTTCCTTCCTCCTCTGCTGCAGGGACTTGAATGCTCTCATGGCTTTGCGGTAAGTCCGGTCGGTTCCCGCGAGCACTTGTAGCACGAGGCGGAAGTGGCGGTGCACGCTCCTTACCTTGCTGCACCTCCTCCTCCTCCTCATCCCCATTCATTTGGGGAGATTGCCTCGTGATTGTGCTGCTGCTACTCAGCTCCAAGGGCAGCTCCACATGCTCCAAGCCGGTCCTCTTCACCTCTCCAAGCCGCACACCAATCTTCGCTTGGTTCTCCGCCTTCCACTCCTTGTACGGTAAGTTCTCCATGAACTTGCAATCTCTGCTCACCAGGAACTTCTTGGTAAATGGGTCCCATAGAAGCCATCCCTTGCTGTTTTGGGCCATGCCCAGGTGCACGGCCCATGTTGCCTTGGCATCAAGCTTGTTGTGCCGAAGTTTCTTAGGCACAAGTGCCATGCACATGCACCCGAACACCCGAAGCATATCTACCTTCGGCTTCCTTCCAATCCACTCCACATAGGGCACCCATTTGTCTTCTCCCACATGAGTCAAGGCTCTGTTCTTGGCCACACAAGCATGTCGCACCGCATCCGGCCAAAAGTAATTGGGTAGACCGGCTTCAATGAGAAGTCCCCGAGCCGTCTCCGTGAGTGTCCGATTCGCACGCTCGGCGATGCCGTTCATTGCAGGAGAGTAGGGCATGGTAAGAGAGTGCCTTATGCCCTGCTTCTTCAGCCAAGTTGAGAAATCCTTGCTCAGGAACTCTCCCCCACGGTCAGTGCGAATCGCCTTCACAAGTCGGTCTTGTTGCCGTTCCACCATCGGCAACCAATCGGTCTTCACCGTTTCAGCTACGTCACTCTTCTTCGGCAGCACATACACCCAAGTCATGCGAGTGTAGACGTCCACAATGGTGAGGAAGTACTCAGCTCCAGCAGCTCCAAGCTTCAAGGGGCCCACCACATCCATCACCACCTCATCAAGTGGTGCCTTCGCCGTTGTCTCCGAGCTATGGAACGGGTAGCGGGTGAACTTGGCTTGCATGCATGTTGGACAGCCAAGCACCTCATTGGGCTCCCCCTTGACATGTATCCCACTGACCATCTCTTGCTTAACTATCTGCTGCAAAATGGGCAATGCCACATGCCCCATTCGCCGATGCAAGGTCAGCCAATCACACTCTCCCGTAGCGGAAGTCGGGTTGGAGAAAGCGGCACTCGCAATCGTGCCCCACAAGCTCTCTCCTTTCTCCTTTGCCGCTGCTGCTTTGCTGATCTTAGGATTCTCCTCCTCATTTCCACCACCTTTGGCTGCTGCACCACTCTCCTTGGGTTCACACGCCTTGCTGGTCTCTCCATGGTTGCACTCCTTCGAGTCACTCATGGTGTCACTTTGTTTTCCGTGATCACCGCCATCAACCGCTTCACTCTTGGTGCTGATGCTTGCTGCCACTTGCCTCCCCTTAGGCATGGGGACCACTGGGATTTGCCACATCTCATTGTAGATGTCCCTGTCCTCATGAAGGTCCCACAGCTTCCGCTCACCAAGCCTCGCGGTATATGTTTCGGAGCCCTTGGAAGATGTGTCCATGCCGGCCTTTTGCAAACGCCGAACAGAGATCAGGTTGGCTGCAAGGTTGGGCACCCAAAGCACGTTCTTGAGGCCCACCATCTTCCCATCAGCACCCTTGAACATGGCCTTGCCCATGCCTTTCACCTCTGCTCGGTGCCCCAAAGCCGATGTAACATGCTTGACCGGCGACGGTTCGAGTTCGGTGAGCAAGTCCGCACGAGGTGTCATGCTGTAGGTGGCGCCGCTATCGATCACCCAAAAGTCCAGAGAGTGAAGGGTGACCTTTCCCACAGTTGCTGGCTCCTCAAAGCCATCCACACCTCCTGCTGCAGCTGCCGCTTGTGTGGAGACAAAGAAGAATTGGCCCGGGTATCGATCTTCACTCGAGTCCTTGTTGTAGTCTCCACCTTTCATGCTTGCCGCTTCGCCTCCACGGCCACCACGGCCTCCACGACCTCTGCCTCTTCCTCCCCTTGCTCCTCTGCCCTCTTGGCCTTGAGAAGGGGTCCATCCATCAGGCAATCTGAAGCAATCTCTCCACATGTGGCCGGTCTTGTGACAAAAGTGGCATTCGCCATCAAATCGACCGCGCCCACGCCCGTAGCCATTGTTGTTGTTGCTGCCATATCCTCCATTACCACGGCCTCCACTGAAGTTACTGCTGCCAAATCTTCCTCCTCGCCCTCTGCCTCTTCCACGGCCGTGCCCACGGCCCATGCTTGCAACTCCGGCACCATCGGGACCCGCCAATTCGCGATGGCGGAAATCTTCTTGTAAGATTTCCCGCTTCACATCTTCGAGTGAGAGACGGGGCAGATCTCGATTAAGGTTGATGATGAGCGAGGACCATGAGTCCGGAAGTAAGGCTAGCAGCTTGGTCTTCTTTTGAAGGTCACTGTAGTTCAGGTCAGCTCCTTCGAGCCGTGTCAATAAGTCGAAGAATTTCTGCACTCCTTCCTCCACCAGTTCGCCTTCGTCAATTCGAAGTGCCGCCATTTGCCGCTCCAAAACCACAGCCACCGCCGCTGTTGCAGGAGCGTGTACACCCTTGAGAGCAGCCCATGCCTTTGGTCCCTTTGCTGGTTCACGCTGAAAAGGCTTGATGTGACGGATTTGGCTGCTCCCCAACGCTTGCCCAAGTAGAAGGTAGCCTTGTGCGCTCTTCCGCACCCACGGGCTCTTCTCCGGGTCGTTCTCGGGGCGCTTCTCCGTTCCTTCCATCACCTCCAGCAGATCATAGTGGTCAAAGATATTCTCCATCTTGAAGGACCACTCAGCAAAGTTGTCACCGTTGAACTTGTCAAGGCCAAACACTCTAGGCTCATCCCTAGAGGGTCCAAGGCTAGGTTGCACCGGAGCAGCGGGTGGATCTTGGTGTTGACCTTGTGCTTGGGCGTCTTCTCTGCCTCCAACACCTCTGCCACCCCCTTCCTCAGGCCTAGGCATGGTCGAGACGGCTCCAAGGGGCTCTGATACCACTTGTTATAATCACAATAGGCTCAGATGTGCCTAAAATGAGAGATATTCAGGACAGTCAGAATTCGGTCAGACAGCTTCAAAACTTGATGGCGATCTAATATGTTCCTCAAACGGTGATCTGTAAATTGGATCTGAAGCACGTTGCTGTCGCCTATCAGCAGCAAGTTAAATCATAAAATTCCATGAAGATTTGACGACGCTATGGCGGTTTGACTGGTAGGAGGTACAGCAGCCACTATAGTCTTAGGAGTACAAACTTAGCAAGAAGAGTTCGAGAGGGAGTCGGTTCCCAGCCTCTACATACCCCAAGAGCCGAGGTCCAGGTTGGTGGTACACCACCACAGAGTCCCCAACCATGAAGAGTCTCGAAACCAACCCTCGAAGGGGCTACCCCAAGTGAAATGTAACACTACACGAAGTAACGTTACTATTTTCACTATTTAATATTTATCCGCGTCCCTTGGGCTTGAAATCTTGAGCTCTTGTTCTTGGATCTTCAAGATAAATTCTTCTTGAGTTGATGGGGGCTTGCTGCACACACCTGCAACACGATGGACACTTCACACTCGACAAAATAGAAAAAACACATGCGAGACACAAACGACGACTTGACATGCGAGTTGTAAAAACTCGCTAATGTCTTGACCGACACAAGCCACACTGTGATACACCATTCAAACATTCACACAAGCACTAGATAGCACTGACATAGACTCACAATTCATTCCATGCCATGCATGCACACACACAAACAAGGACGACAAGCCGAGTGCAAGCCATAGGATTGCACCAACATCTTCCTGACGATCTTCCGGACGAGCTACCGCCATACCGAACGCATCAACACGAGATCGTGGAGGAACCGGGTTCGAAGCCGACCTTCCGAGCACCATACCGGCTCAGCCCTACGGAGCCGACCGACATGAAAAAACAGATGGCGTATCTCCTAGCCAAAGGGCTCATCCGGCCATCCACTTCGCCATACGGTGCCCCAGTACTCTTTACACCGAAACCGGACGGAAGCCTGCGCATGTGCATCGACTACCGAGCTCTTAACAAGCAGACCATCAAGAATAAATATCCGATACCGCGATTCGATGACCTGCTTGACCAGCTTCGGGGAGCTACGGTATTTTCCAAACTGGATTTGCAGTCCGGATACTGGCAGATACGGATAGCAGACAACTCTATCCACAAAACTGCTTTCCGAACTCGGTATGGATCGTACGAGTATTTGGTAATGCCGTTCGGACTCACAACCGCACCGGCAACGTTCCAAGCCAAAATGAACCACATTCTACGACCACTTTTGGACAAGTGCGTGGTGGTGTACCTGGACGACATCCTCATCTACTCGTGCGACATGAAGGAGCACGTCGAACACCTGCGACGCGTCTTCGAAATTCTTCGTCGGGAACGGTTCTACGTCAAACTGTCCAAAAGCGAATTCGCCCTTGAGAAGGTCCAGTTCCTAGAACACATGGTGAGCGCTCAAGGAGTTCACGTCGACCCAAAGAAAATCGAAGCCGTACGTACGTGGAAGACACCCGAGAACGTGAAGGAGTTGCAGCAGTTCCTAGGCTTCGCAAATTATTACAACAGGTTCGTGCCACAGTATGCGAAACTCGTAGCACCACTCACGAATCTGCTAAAGAAGAACACGCCCTACAGATGGGAATCGAAGCACAAGGAAGCCGTGGAGTAGCTGAAACAAGCACTCACGACCGCCCCGGTACTCATCTTGCCAGACCCCGAATGCGACTACATAATCGAAGCTGACGCCAGCGACCAGGCAGTGGGAGCAGTCTTGATGCAAGACCAGGGGAATGGACTGCAACCAATCGCCTACCTCAGGAAGAAACTACATGGAGCAGAACTAAACTACCCGATACACGACAAAGAGGCCCTTGCCATCGTCATCGCCTTCAAAGCATGGAGATGTTATCTCGAAGGACGAAGAACAACCGTCTACACTGACCACTGCAGCCTGAAATATTTGAAGACACAACCCAACCTTTCTAGGCGGCAGGTCCGGTGGATCGACTTCCTCGAGACACACTTCCACTACGACATCGTGTACAAGCCCGGCCACAAAAACAAAGCAGACGCTCTCAGCCGGCCTGCGCACGTTGCTGCTATTCAGATTGAAGGGATGAATCCACTACTCAACAGACTCTTCACACATGGGTACGCCATCGACCCCGAAATCCCCTTGGCTGAAAAACGACATCTGCTACAGTGGGACAATGACATCGCGTACCAGAAAGGATCAACGAAAATCTGGGTACCCAGTTACCCTCCTTTGCGCCAGTTACTACTCGAAGAATACCACGACGTCCTATACGCCGGACACTTCAGTAGCAACAAGACGCTCACCGGTATCGCCAAACACTACTACTGGACCCATATGGCAGATGACGTACAGAAATTCGTCACCTCGTGTGATACATGTCAGCGGATGAAGAGCAGCAAGCAGAAAAAGGCGGGACTACGGCAGCCTCTTCCTGTCCCAGAACAACCATGGCAAGTGGTAAGCCTGGACTTCATCACCGGGTTACCACCTACCAACCGCGGTCATGACGCAATCCTTGTCGTCATCGACAAGTTCTCCAAAATGGGACACTTCATCCCGACGCACACGACGGCACACACCGAGGAGACAGCACAACTCTTCGTTCGTTACATCATCTCACAGCATGGCATTCCAACCACACTCATCTCCGACCGAGACCCCAAGTTCACCAGCAAGTTCTGGAAGGAACTTATGTCTCTACTCGGGACCAAACTAGCCATGTCATCCGCTTACCATCCGCAGACAGACGGACAGACCGAGCGCCTCAACCAAATTGTTGAGCAACTCCTCCGAGCAGCCTGCAAGGACGAGATCTCCAAATGGGACCTGCACCTGCTCGTTCTGGAGTTTGCTTACAACAATGCTACATATGCCACTACTGGACAGACGCCGTTCTTCCTCTGCTACGTACGCCAACCACTCACACCATAGAAACCGACCACATCCGCTACAGTCCAACCTGCTCATGATTTCATCACAACCATGCATCAGCTTTGGGATCGGACCCATAAGCGCCTCCTCGACATTCAGCAGCAACAAAAGCGCCAGGCCGATCGCCATCGCAACGACCACACCATCACGGTGGGAGACCAGGTGCTTCTTGACACCCGCAACCTGGACATCAGCCACCTTCCATCTAAACTTCGACCTCGCTTCTGCGGGCCTTTTCTCGTTGAAGCGCAGGTTACTACTATTACCTTCCGCTTGCGTGTGCCAGCCACCTGGAAGATTCACAACGCCTTCCATGTCCAACTTCTGAAGCCCTATCAGGATCCGAACATGATCTTCGTCGGACGCCAACCGCCGCCGCCACCACCCGTCCTCGACCAGAATGAACCCGAGTACGAGGTCGAGTCCGTGCTTGCACACCGCCGACGTCGGAATGGCGCCATAGAGCTCTCATCCGTTGGAGGGGTTATGATCCTTCTGAGGACAGCTGGGTCCCTGAGTCCGACATGGGTAACGCCCGTCGTCCTCTGCATGACTACCTTGTCAAGCAGGGTGTAACTTCTACCACCCAGCTTTGAGGGGGGGAAGTATGAGAGTACGACCCCGTTACACCAGTTGTCCCTTTTATTATTTCCTTCCTCTTTCATTTCTCTTTTTAGCTCATCTCATTTGGTTTCCTATTCTCCATTTTCCATTAACCTTTGGTTTATCCTGCTATTATAATTATATCACCGACCAGGCTTGGGATGTACTAGTGCGCTATCTGGCGTAATCCTGCCGTAATCCCTTAAAGCCAATAGCCTCGCGTGGCTATACGTAGGGTGATTCTTTCTTCTAGAAGGGCCTATTCCCCTAGGATAAGATAAACCTGGTTACCTGATGTACTTTGGAAGTATAAAAGCGCCTTGTACTGATCGATAGTAACAACCTTTCCTCGACACATTGGATCCTGTGACAGGAGGAATGAGGCGACACGATGGAGGGAATCATACGACATGATTGGAGGAATGAGGCGACATGATGGGAGGAATGAGACCACAGGATGGGAGGAATGAGACGACACAATGGGAGGAATGAGATGACAAGATGGGAGGAATGAGACAATACGATGGGAGGAATGAGACGAGACGATGGGAGGAAAGAGACAACAAGATGGGAGTAATGAGACGATATGATGGGAGGAATGAGACGACATGATGGGAGGAATTAAGCGATATGATGGGAGGCATGAGACGACATGATGGGAGGAATGCGACGACATGATGGGAGGAATGAGGCGACATGATGGGAGGAATGAGGCGACACGATGGGAGGAATGAGGCGAAAGGATGGGAGGAATGAGGCGACATGATGGGAGGAATGAGACGACACCATGGGAGGAATGAAGCGACATGATGGGAGGAATGAGACGACACCATGAGAGCAATGTGACGACATGATGGGAGGAATGGAGCGACATGATGGGAGGAATGAGACGACATGGTGGGATGAATGAGATGGCATGGTAGGAGGAATGAGATAACATGATGGGAGGAATGAGAAGACATGATGTGAGGAATGAGGCGTCATGGTGGGAGGAACAAGGCGACACGATGGGAGGAATGAGATGACATGATGGGAGGAATGAGGTGACATGATGGGAGGAATGAGACAACATGATGGGATGAATGAGCCGACACGATGGGAGGAATGAGGCGACATGATGGGAGGAATGAGGCGACATGGTGGGAGGAATGAGGCGACCTGATGGGAGGAAGGATATGACATGATGGGGGGAATGAAGAAACATGATGCGAGGAATTAGGTGACGCAGTGGGAGGAATGAGGCGACATGATGGGAAGAATGAGGCAACTTGATGGGAGGAATGAGGCGACACGATGGGAGGAATGAGGCGACACAATGGGAGGAAGGAGATGACACGATGGGAGTAATGAGACGACACGATGGGAGGAATGAGACCACATGATGGGAGGAAAGGGACGGCATGATGGGAGGAAAGAGAGTACATGGTGGGAGGAATGAGGCGGCATGATGGGTTGAATAAGGCAACATGATGGGAGGAATAAGACGAAATCATGGGAGGAATAAGATGACACGATGGGAGGAATGAGATGGCATGATGGGAGGAATGAGGCGTTATGATGGGAGGAATGAGGTGACATGATGGGAGGAATGAGGCAACTTGATGGGAGGAATGAGGAGACAGGATGGGAGGAATGAGGCAACATGATGGGAGGCATGAGGCGACATGATGGGATGAATGAGACGACATGATGGGAGCAATGAGACGACATGATGGGAGGAATGAGACAACATGAT